TAAAAAAAAAAAAAAAAAAAAAAAAAACTTTTAATTTTCATGTGTGTAACTCTCGGATTTTTGTTCTATTTTATTTAAATTTATCTCTTTTTTTTTAGCACCTTTACTTAATTCTCTAAATTATATATAATATTTCAGCATCGGGATATCACCATCTACTATCTGACTGTATATTTTTATATTTATATAATATTTCGACTTATATATAGTTTAGTTTTATCACATATAATCATCTATGGTATATATATATATATATATATATATATTTATATAATATTTTAACCTACTCTATATAATTTAGTTTTACTAAATATAATTATCTACGGTATATATATATATATATTTATATATTTTACAAGATATAATCTCATGAATATATATATATTTATATATATTAAAGAAGAAGAATCATGGAGTGTGGGCTTTTGATGGGCCGTTAGCCCAGAAATCCAAACGAGCGGAGCCCACTTTATATCGCTACTTTCTTCTTTCTATCTTCATAAACGACATGTCGTTTTTATAAAGAGCGGTAATCTTATATCTTATCAGAGCTCCGAAAGTCCGGGCGGGTGAGGTATAAAAGAGGGATAAAATCCGTCACGGTTTCCACTCGAAACTTATCTTCGTGATTCTCTCACAGACGCTCGCTCTCCTTCACTCTGCTTCATCTTCATCCGTCCATGGCTTCACTTCCTTTCGGACTTCTTCAGGCAACATTTCAATCTCCTACTCTTTCTCCTCGTTGTTTCTCCTTCTCCAAATCCGAAACCCTAGGAACCTCTCTGCGTACTTCTACTGGAACCTCTGCAACTTCCTCGCCTTCTTCAATTCCCGCCGGTATGTATTTGTTACCTTCTTTTGTACTGTTCACGTCTCTTCTGTTCATCTTCAATCGATTGATTTTTGTTCTATTTTTGCTTTTTCAGTGTATTGTGGCAGAGGCGATAAGAAGACGGAGAAAGGAAAGCGGTTCAAACACTCATTCGGAAATGTAAATGTCTTTACTCTCTCTTTTCTTTGTTCGTTCGAAGTTCCTTTGTCCTCATTTGATTCTTTTTGGGGAAAAACGTTCAGGCAAGGCCTAGGGACAAGACGAAAGGGAGAGGGACACCAAGAGTACCAACTCCGCCTTCTCCGCCTAGAAAGGATAAGTTTGACGACGATGAGAAAATCAAGATCGAAATCGACGAGTCTCTTTTCTCTCGCTAGTCAAGGAGCAGCCTAGTTCTGTTTGTTTGTTTGAAATTTGTTTTCTAAATCCAGAAGGTACCTCCGCTTCTTATATTCGCATTATTTTTGTATGAATTCTTCAGTTGTTTGCTTTCTCAGTCTACTCGAAGTATGTACGCTCTCCCTTTCTCTTTCTTTTGACCTTTTCTGAGCTTAATTCCGACTATTGATGCTTCATAGATAATCTTCGCGTCATTAGCAGGCAATTGTTGAAATATAAGTTTGCTTCCTCTTCCATGTTATCGAAGGCACTAGAGTTGAGCTATTCTAGACTAACGTTAGATGCAAAAAGAATCTACTTGCTCCTTTCTGGTTTTACGAATTTCTTTCCGATTGTTGCCTTGGTATGGAAGCGTCAATTGCTTGTTTATCTACTAAGTTCTAAGCGGACTTTGGGAAGATTTATCCAATATTCTCTCTGTAATAGGCTAATACGGATCACTTATTTTAATGACTACATAACCGTAAAAATATAAGCTCCAATTGGAGCATTGTTCACCCGATGGTTGATCACTTCACTTCGCAATCATTGAACTAAAAAGAAAAAAAGTTACAGAAATATAGACAAAAAGTAGTTGCGTTGCGTCCTTGGATAGGCTGTTTTCTACTACAAAATAACCTGTATTTCTTAACTCAATTTCAGCCACCTATGTTGCCTTTTATTATGATTGTTTTGGAGGTTCTACCGTCTCTCTACAAAGAGAGTTTCTCCTGATGTCAAGGGTAACTGAAGAGGAGGAAGAAGAAGAAGAGGTACCTAGGTTTATTGGCCCAGAAGACCAAAAAGGAAAGAATCCGACAAATCCTTGAGTCCCAGTTAGTTACTCTTCTTCTGCATCTTCATGTTCCTCCTCCTCCTCCTCTGTATCATCTTCATGTTCTTCCTCCTCCTCCTCTGTATCATCTTCATGTTCCTTCTCCTCCTCTGCATCATCTTCATGTTCCTCCTCCTCCTCTGCATCATCTTTAAGAAGCAATAGTTTACTAGACTTGATGAAAGAAGGAAACACCTCTCTCAGTAGATTATATGACATATGACATGAGTAGCTCAATAAGGGTTGGCAAAAGTCGATGACTGGGGTTATGGATTTAGGTCGTCCATTAAACTTTCTCGGGTTATGAGTATAATCCTTGTTAGGTTATTAAAAAAAAAAAAAAAAAAAAATCAATGAAAATTTAGGAAAAAGCTTGCCTAGATGATCCTGACCTGTGTTGAGATGAAGTGGAAATTTTAGTACATTGGATCGGTGGACCAAAAGTTACAATGGGTGATTTTGGAAAAAGAAAAAAAAAACATACCATCCTTTTCCTTTCAGCATTAGATCCTGTCCGACTTTGGCAGTTAACCCGCTTTCAAAACTGTTTTGTTTTGTAGGATCGTGTTTCTTTTCATATTGCTCCTGTTCATCATCAAATTTCCTGAAAATAGCGCTATAATTAGAAAAATCATAGTACTAAATGTTCCTTTTTTCTTCCCAAAATTTCATCATATTTCAATGATTAAAATACCAATCACCAGCAAGAAAACAGAATGTTTTATTTTTAACTTATTTTGATGTTTTTTTTTTCTTTAATGTAAAGTGGAATATGACCATTTATTATTCTCTTCTTCAAATTGTTCTGTTCTTTTTGTTATATAAAGGAATTTTTTCCACTAAAATTGAATAATTTGGTTATTTTCACCTGCACAAATTTATAATAAAATAGTTGTAAGAGTATTAATATTTTATTCACCGAAATAAAATAATAAAAATAAAGAAGGAAGCTAAAAGACTATTTTGATTGAGTAGGAGTGTAATGAGAGAAGGATTTAAATTATTCGTGTGAGCCTAAGGAGGGGAGGTAAAAAAAGTAGAGACACTAATGGCCAACATTAAGGCTGTGATTGTAACAAAGGCAGTTAGAAATAGGGCCGCGACTGAACCCAATAATAAACATTTGCAGCCCATATTTCTCAAGAGAAAAAAAAAAAAAAAAAAAAAAGGAAAAAAGATTAAAAGGTTATTCTTCACCTCAAGGCCGTTGGGAGGCAAAGAAAGCTCCGGTTGCAGTGTACATTGGTAGGGTGGGAGGGGCCTGGGTTACAAAACAAAATCTGTCCAAAAATGAACATTACGTGTGGGGTTTGGGTGTTTTATTCAGTTCAAGTAATGGAATTCCCATTCTTCTGCCTCAAAGATCCTACTTCTTCTTCTTCTTCTTCTTCCTCCTTTGATCGTTTACTGGTAAATGATACATATATAGTTAAAATATGGTAAGAAGAAAGCGAATTTAGTTCCCCAACAAGACAAGGAGACAAGAAACAAGAATCAAGAAAGCTTGGAAACAAATGGACAAAAAGGAATGTGTTGAAGGGTGTTACCTCGGGGAACCCTGGCGCTTCTGAACATTCTGTTGATTTGGCGAAACAGAATTAGTAGTCTCAGGTTCATCAGAAGCCTGAAAGTATTTATGTCAGTAATCACAAGAAATTGGAAAAAAAACGCAGTTTCTGGAATAAAACAATGACACTGAAATAACCAATTAACTATGTTTCTATTCTCTTCAATTTTTTATTCAACCTTCCTCCACAAACAAGATTGAGTTGATTCAAAGAGTTCATCTCAGATATTTCATAAACAGCAAAAAACATAAATCAATCAAAATCCTTAAATCCTCCACTAATCAAATCAAATCAAATGAACTCAATTACATGGGAGGCACTTGGATAAGGGGTAGAAACTGGGGGAGGGGGATTGACCACCGACCGAGCTCATACCTTTTTTTGGAACAACGTTGAGAGGCAGCTTGGGGAAAACATGAAGCCCAGCTCACTTTGCATTGCATTCAGTGTTTCGGTTTTGGTGTTCACATTTGGATGGCAATGAGATGAAGTAGAGGAAGGGGGGGAGGAGGAGGAGGAGGAGGGGGAGGAGGA